GTCAGACCGTCCGCTATTTCGACAAGCTGCAGAAGTCGCCACAGGGGCTGTACGGAGATCTCGGCGTCGGAGTGGTGCCGTGAGCCCTCGGTTGAAGGGAAGTTTGAAGGGGCGGGTAATTTTAGCTGCTGAAGTTTTCGCGTGCAATGCAATATCTCGCGCGCAGGATATTGCTGCTTGGGTGCCGACAAATTTGGGCAAAACCTGTCTGGCTCCAGCGACGCGGCCCGCTCATCACGCCAGGGGCTGCTGCCAGTCCGTAGAGTTCGCGCGCAGCTGCGGTTCTCCGGCACCGTACGGCGATCTGCGTCCCGCAATCATGAGAGAGTGAAGTTCCCTGCGACATCGGGATGGGGCTGCCCCGGACGGGCTGCCGCGGTCCCGGCGACGTTGCGGACGGGATCGGACGGGTGGGTCGCGCCGGTGGCAGCGGCGGACGGCGCGGGTGCACCCGCCGCGGACCGATGCCGTTCGTCGCCGCCGCCCGCCGCGCCGGTCCCCAGCCCCATGGGGGGGGTTTCGTTCGTCGCTCACGATTCCGCACGCAGGTCCCCGCGATGAAGTCCGCCGTCCTCCTGGCGGCGGCGGTCGTCGAGGGCAAGACGCCTTACTTCATGTACGCCCCGACGCCGAAGCCGACGTCCGTGCCGTCGGCCGCGCCGAACCCCATGCCGACCTACGTGCCGTCGATCATGCCGACGTACACCCCGACGGACGTCCCGACGCTGCACCCGTCCTAGACCAGCGTTTGATCCGGAAAAACGACGCAAGATCGTCATCTTCGTGCACCGTAGGTCCTACCCGCCGACGACGCACCCGATCCCCATGCCCACGTACGTGCCCACATACGTGACGGAGGCGCCGAGCTACTCGCCGAGCTACGTGACCGACGCGCCGAGCTACACGCCGACGTTTTTGACGCCGGACCCGACGCCCGTGCCCTACCCGATGCCGACGCAAGGTTCCCGCGTCCGCGAGCCGGAGACGTGTCCCTGAAGCCCCTCGCTTTGCAGGTACTCGCCGTCCTACGCGCCGACGACGGCGCTCCCGACG